TTTGAGGAATATTTTTTGAGTTTAATTCTTGATGTGAGACATGATTCCACTAATTTTTTGTAGAGTTCAAATAATTGTGTTTCATAAAAGAGAAACTTGACAGTGACCTGATGTACTCCCTATCTGAGGATGGAAGACATTCATGCCCCAGCTTGAGGGGAGTGTCAAAAATTAGATCCCTAAATTAAGTAGATTATGTAATATGGTAGGATATTTATAGATGTATTTTTATTAGTTAGGATCCCTAACTTTAAGGAATTATATTTATTCCTAAAATCAGTCACTTACCTAATTTAGCAGTTTCCTAAGATAAGACAATAGTTTGTGTATTTAGTTGTGTAAGTCTTCTACATGAAAAATATAAGAGTGAAAAGCTTCTTGTTTTCAACATGTTTCAAGGAGACTATTGGGCATAGTTATTTCAAACTCTTGTAGAACCAGGAGGATGTCCATGACTTTAAGAACATACCATTATAACTAAATTCTTGTTAGCGGGGTAGTCGTGTGAAGTATATCATCTTTTACAAAAATGACAGAACAATTCAAGGACATCGTGTTTACTATTTAGCCAGTAAAGTAAATATAATGTCACATGGGAATGTTAAAAGGAATACACTTATATATCATATGCAACAATCGATCGTAAAGGCTATCACTACAATGAATCAAAATGTTTGTGATAAAATTATAAATTTCATTATGTGGGATTGTTGGGAAAATGATGAATTTAATCGATGGATTTAATATTTATATTAAATTCATATTACCTTTGACTATTGCAAATTAAAAGATATTTTTAATTTGAATATCAGTATGATAATTACTCTTTGAATATGTCAATTTAAAAATATATTTATTATATTTTTAACTTTGAATATTAAAGATAATTATACATACTTTTGAATATTTCAAATTAAAATAATATCTATTTAATTTTGAATAGTAAAAATTATTTATATCTTTTGAATATTTTAAATTTAAAAATAATTTTATATGCTTATATTTGAATATTAAAATATATCTGTTGGATTAATTCCTTCTGGGATATCCCCTATAAATATCGAGCAAGTCTGTTAGGTTTTTTATATCTCAGATTTCAAGAAATTTTCTTTTCTTGAAAAAAAATATTTTTTATCTTTCTTTGTGTTTCGATGATAAAAGAAGGTAATAATAGTTCGTGATCTCTACTGTTGTGCTAACTCGAGCACTAAAAGAGTGGCCGAAAATATGTCTTAGAGAAACTATATAGATAGACCTTAATTGTTTTCGATCACAATATCAAAATAAAAAAAGTTTTTTTCTTTCTATTCAATTTTGATTTTTTTAAGAAGTTTAACTTCTTTGCTTGATTTTCTCATAATTAATTTTGTTTTATATTGTTATTTCGAATAATAATCTCAAGACATAGTAAACTTATTGTGTCTCTTCTCTTAATTTAATAATGAAATTTCATTATTATTATTTCTATATTATTCTCAAATTAATATGTGACTTTTCTAACAGCTCTTTGTATCTCAAACGTATAATAATACTATCCAAGATACTACAAACGTATAATAATACTATCCAAGAGTAGTATCTATACAATTCAATAGGGTATAAGTTGAGAGATAAATGGTGTTTCGAGATTCATTGATTAATTAATATAGGGAGGGCCCAAGATGGAGAGTCCTCCGAATATCCTATAGGTTATATTATATATTTCGAATGATCGATTTCCACGTAATTGTTCATTTGTAAAATAAGATATAATGTATAAAAAGTTAGATTTGATATGTTGACTTAATGAACTATACAAGTGATTAGTCATTGAGCTATGAATAAAATCTAATATAAGTTACGAGTGAATTTACATTAAACTCTCTTTAAAATAACAAAAAATATAAAATTTTAAATGTATTTAATTGTAATTTATTTGGATTATATATTTAAATGTGTTTAATTATATAAAACGTAATAGAAACACTGATAAGAAAATGTAATAAATTGTTATAATAAAAAACGGAGGGGAGGCAGAGGAGCGTGGGCCTCCTTTCAAGCTTTTCTGTAAGCTAAACCACTGACATGTCGTGGCACAGAAGAGCTGCACCAACTCATCCTCTCCTTTTCCTTCCCCCACTACGCTACACGGGCGTACGCATCACTCTCCATTCAAACCCACAATTTTACGATTAAAATAATATTTATTGAATCCCTAACTTGAAAACTTTTCTTCGAATTAGTCCCCTATCTATTTCCTTTTATTTATCCATGTTAGACTCTGAACAAGTCCATCCCGTCAAGAAAATGGAAATATAACGATTGTCAATATATATATAATGGAGATCTCTTATCGTACTGTTTTACCTGAATGGATTCAATCGTTGTTACATCAAGAGCGAGCTGATAGATAATTTTGTTGCGGACAATGTTGTCCTCTTGCTATCTGTTCTGATATTAGTATAAATACTATTTTCATCCATTTAGATTTAAAAAAGTTTCTAACGAGACCCGTACTAATATTATCCCATATGATTTTACATTAATAAAACCGTACAGTTCACCAATATGTATATATATATTTCACGGTAAAACATGTGTACACGAATGCGAAGAGGATAATGGGAAAGGGTTACTTTAAAGGTGCGTTTGGTTCACAGAATGTAAGATTATCAGTGAGAATAAAAGATTACTAGGGAATAAGATTACTGGGAATGTTATATTTTGTGTTTAGTTGGTTTAGCAAGAATGTAAGATTACCGTGTTTAGTTAAAGGAATAAAAGATTATTGGAAAATATATTTGATCAAATTGTCCTTATTATATATTTGTATATATTACAAATTTTAAAATATTTATATATTTTCTTTAAAAAATTAAATACATAATATTTATATAATTTTTTTTACAAAATTAAAAATATAAAAAATGTTTAATGAAAGGGTAAAAAAATTTTAACACCTGAACTTCATATAAAATTTTAATTATAGATTTTTTTTGTAAATTAAAATAATTTAAGGATAAATTTGTAATTTAATTCGTAGAATTTTTGTTATTCAATGACAGAATAAGTATATTTTTGAAAAAAAATAAAAATTTAAGGGTATTTTAGTCCAAAACGTCGGTAATGTTACAATACCTAAGGGAATGGAGGTAATGACATTCTCGGTAATATACCCAAAAAATCTACTATTGGTAATAAAACATTACCACATCGTCATCTATCGGAGTAAGTTCCAACAATTCGTTGCACAAGTCTTGCCAGTTTCCAAGGGCGACATCGGTAATAAGTGTTCCGTAAATAGACAACCCAAGATGAAATGCAACATCTTTAAGGGTAATAGTCGCTTCCCCACAAAGAAAATGAAACACGTGCGTTTCCGATCTCCATCGTTCAAGCAACACGTTTATCAATTTAGGATATAAATTCGTACCACCAGTTATAACTCTAATGTAACCAAAATCAGTTTCGTGCAAATATGAAAGAATATCCTCATCATATCTCAGGAAACGGTTGATATAACACTTTAACAACTGTTCATACCCCTTGAATCGAACAAATAAATAAATCATAAAAATTAATTAATCACTAATTTATTCAAAATAATAAATAAATCAATTGAAATAAATAAAGAAATAAAAATTACTCTCAGATTTGTCCGCCAATAATCGAGCACATGCCTTCGATCAAGCCTAAGTAATCTTGTCATAATGATCGTAAATAAATATATCAGAGAGAAGATAAGAGAAAAGGGAGATTTTTAATGAAGTAGGTGAAAAATAAGGGTCTTGGGGTCCATATTTATAACCGTTGTGACACCGTCCTCGAAGCAAGGGGTACTTCACGTACTACAAAGCACAAATTTATAAAATCTTTTCAAAAATACCCACCTCACGTCTTGTAGGACGCTATCGCTCGTAATAAATTACTCCTACGATTTAATGTATCGTGGACCTCATGTCTAGCAGAGCATGAGATATTAAATACCAATATTAAATACTTTTATGTGAAAAGTACATCCACCTCGAATGTAACTTATGTCTGGTGAAAAGCGAATAATTTATTGCATTTCGTAGGATGCGAAATAATCTTACGTGTACAATTTGGGATACATCCATCTAAATAATCTTCGAAGGAGGTTATTCTTCAAAATAATATAATAATAAATAAATTAGTGATTGAAATTTAATAAATTTATAACAAAAGTAATAAAATATATTTTTTTAAATTCAATGAGTAAAAGTATATATGAAAAGAAAATGATAAATCCTATAATTTATCCAAATCATTAATATCAGAAAATGAATTTCATAAATATTAAAAAAACCCTACTTTTAAATAAATTCTCAATAACCCTAAGTTTTCTTTATCTCACTCATTTAGCCCACATCTTAAGTATTTTCGTTTAAAAGTTAATTTTGTATACAAACGAAATTATTAAGTGGTAGTATTTTTTTTATATAAATATAAATAATAATTTACAAAAACTATTTATTTGCATGAACTATCTATCTGGTCCCCTTGGCGCCTGGCAGTTCTGGGCCTTGAGTCCTTCGTCCCCGCTGATAAGTCCACCGGGTGTAGCCGGTACTGCCGGTTTGTTTTAGTGGGTTACGAATTGACAGCGGTTTAAATGATTGCCATTGCTTCACAGTTCTCACACAGACAAATAGAGACGATAGGGAAAAAACACACAGATAGAAACCACAGAGAAAATAAAAGCATTATTTTTTATGTTATTTTTGGAAGTTTCAATTTTCGCGAGTGTACGAGCTCTGATATCTCATCTGCTGCAATTACAGGTCGATGGGGAGATTTAGAGCTGAGCAGTGAGTTGTTGGGTTTTGTTGGCGGAAGGAAAGAGGAAGAGTGAAAGTGACTAGATATAAAAAGTGGAAAGGAAGACAGAGCAATCAGAATTGATTGATTGATGCATAAATCAAGAAGATTGGTGGTGAATTGAGAGGAATACAGGCTTGTTTTAGTCGATTTGATTATTGTCTCAGGGATAGTTGTTTTTCTTTTGTTTTCTTTTTTAAACGAGAGCGGTTTTCGGTTGTTTGAGTTGAATTCGAGTTGTGCTTTTTTAGTTTTAAGGAAAATTGAGAGTATCGGATGAGAGATCTGAGCTGAAAACATTTTGGCAACTGTAAAGAAAAAAATGACAACTATGGAAGTATCAATGAAAGGAAATTGTGTTAACGGAAGAGGAGGAGAAAGCTTTTCTTCTGGTTATAGCGAGCCAATTGATGCTCGGAACACCAGGGAAGGGCAAGACGGTCGCTCAACTCGTAAGCCTGCCGTCAAAGGTATAATTGCTTCTTCTTCCGTTTATAGCTTTCATCGGGTTCTTAATTTTTTTTTTAATTTGCCGTTTTATGTTTATTTCGGTTTTGTTTCGTGTCTGGAAAATATAGACCCAGAAGCGGCGCTGTATACGGAGCTTTGGCGTGCATGTGCCGGATCTCTGGTGACCGTCCCTCGCGAAGGAGAGCGCGTGTTCTACTTTCCCCAAGGTCACATAGAACAGGTTTCTCTTTTTTTTCCCCCTTTCGTTTCGTGTTAGTCTTAACTTTTCTTTATTGGTGAATGGATGTGGTTTTTTTTTTGAAGCGGATCTTTCTCTTTATCATGTTTTATTTTCATTTCTATTTCTGGGTTTTTTCTTCTTACTATTAACCACAAGTTCATGGTGAATCAGGTTGAGGCGTCTACTAATCAGGTTTCAGACCAGAATATGCCAATGTATAATCTTCCATCTAAGATCCTTTGTCGGGTGATTAACGTTCAATTAAAGGTACCTTTGCACCTGTTTATTGCAACTTGTATTGTTTTTGTTTGGCTAGTGAGACTAAAATCCTTGTGCTGTTAATTATTTAGGCTGAACCAGATACTGATGAAGTTTTTGCACAAGTGACTCTTCTTCCTGAACCTACTGTAAGCTTTGGTTTCTACATTGTATTTTGTTATGATTAGAAGCTGATGAGGAGTTGGATTTCTAATGAGTTTGTTCTTTGAACTATCTATATCTTAGCAGCAAGATGAGAATACCGTGGACAAGGAGCCTCCTGTTCCTCAACCCCCACGGTTCCATGTTCATTCCTTTTGCAAGACCTTGACTGCCTCAGATACAAGCACCCATGGTGGGTTTTCGGTGCTCAGGCGGCATGCTGATGAATGTCTTCCACCATTGGTTTGTGTCTTGTCTAATGCAGATGCATACCTCCTTTTCTTTTTTCCTATGTTATAATTAGGTTGTGATTCATTTGAGTTTGTTTAACAGGACATGTCACGGCAACCACAAACACAAGAATTGGTTGCTAAGGATTTGCATGGAAATGAGTGGCGATTCCGGCATATCTTGAGGGGTAATACTTTTAAACCTTGGTTTTACATGAAATGTTTGATTATGAGCTGTTTGTACAAGTGCGGGTCATTTATTATATTTTATTTCTGATCTCATTATTACATGATAATCCCGTTTTGTTTATATAATTTGGTTCACTTGTTGATGCGCATATCAGGTCAACCTCGTAGGCACTTACTTCAAAGTGGTTGGAGTGTTTTTGTGAGTTCCAAGAGGCTTGTTGTAGGGGATGCCTTTATATTTTTAAGGTTTGCAATTGCATGTTTCCTCGCATGTGCTCTTAAATTTGATGTTTCAAATTAAATTTAGTTTGAGCTTGAGTAATTTTGATGAAATGATTTGCAACTTCAGAGGTGAGAATGGAGAATTACGTGTTGGTGTAAGAAGAGCTGTGAGACAGCTGGGCAATGTTCCTCCATCAGTAATATCAAGTCATAGCATGCATCTTGGTGTGCTTGCAACAGCATGGCATGCCTTCTCAACACGAACCATATTTACTGTGTATTACAAACCTAGGTATGGAGATCTTGCTACCTTTTTCTTTTGCATGATTTGTCATTTTTCCTGGATTGATATAATGCACTCCAAATAGATCACTTCTTGATGAGTTCTCAAATTTAACATTGCTATTTGGTAGAAGAATTCATTGTAGGTTCTTGTATTTACACTTGTCAATTTTCTGTTATAGGACAAGCCCAGCCGAGTTTATTGTTCCATATTATCAGTACATGGAGTCATTAAAGAACAATTACTCAATAGGGATGAGATTCAAAATGAGATTTGAAGGTGAAGAAGCTCCTGAACAGAGGTATAGCTTCTGTCTTCCTTTCTCTGTGAAGATACTATTTCCTTGTAGGCTAGATCAGAACAATTATTTATGAAGTGTCGTAGTATTTTACTGCATGAGAGCAACAAATTTCAAACATGATACGGGAGCAAGCTGAAGTTTTTTTTTTTATATTGCAGGTTTACTGGAACAATAGTTGGAATAGAAGATGCTGATCCGAAAAGATGGCAGGATTCCAAATGGAGATGCCTCAATGTATATTTTATTTAGTTTGACAAATTTAGGATACTGAATGGTAGAATGTTTCTACTCGGGATTCTGAAACAATGTTTAAATACCCCTTACAGGTGCGATGGGATGAGACATCTAACATACCTCGTCCAGAGACAGTTTCTCCTTGGAAAATTGAACCTGCTTTGGCTCCTCCAGCCTTGAATCCAATTCCAATGCCCAGGGCCAAAAGGCCTCGACCCCATGCAGTACCTACATCATCTGATTCCTCTTTTCGTACTAGGGAAGGTAGGTCCTTTCTGAATTTAAGATTTTGTAATTTATTTTCATGTACTATCTCATCTGGAAAGATCGAATAATTAAATTCATGTCTAGGTTCATCCAAAGTTACTGTAGACCCTTCAACAGCTAGTGGGTTGCCAAGGGTCTTGCAAGGTCAAGAATTCTCGACCTTGAGAGGCAACTTTGTGGAGAGTATCGGGTCTGACACTGCTGAAAAATTGATGATGTGGCCACCTGTAGATAATGAGAAGATTCACGTGGTTTCTGCTTCAAGAAGATTTGGTTCAGAGAATTGGATGTCCTCCGAGAGGCATGAACCAACATACACAGATCTACTCTCAGGGTTTGGATCAAATGCAGATTCCATACATGGGTATTGTTCATCCTTGGTTGATCAAACTTTATTGGTTGGTAAGACTATGAAAAAACAAGCATTAGATCAAGAAATGAAGCTTGGGTCTTGGTCCCTCGGGCCTTCTGGTCTGTCACTCAAATTGGCCGTCACAAATGCAATGCTCCCAGGGCAAGGTTCTGGCGTGCCTTATAAACCCCGAGGAAATGGTCGATTTAGTGGTTTTGGTGACTATCCTGTACTTCAAGGCCATAGGATTGAACACTCAAACGGAAACTGGTTGATGCCTCCCCCAAATTCTCATTATGAGAAGAGTCCAGTCCAATCTCGAGATTTAATGCCCGCATCATCGGTACAAGAACACGAGAATGGAAAATCTGGTGAAGGAAACTGCAAGCTCTTTGGTATTCCTCTCGTTAGGAATTCTATTGCATCAGAACCCACTGTCACTCATGTTAATGCATTGAATGAGCCTGTGGGTCATATGCAAGCTGCATCTCACCATGTTCGTGCTTTTGAATCTGACCAAAGATTTGAAAACTCGAAGGTCTCACAGTTAGTGGATGTGGAGGACTTGTCTAATTTTAATGAGCTCAAGAAACAACCTCATGCTCGAGAGATTCAAAGCAAGCCTTCTAGTGCTTCAACTAGGAGTTGTACCAAGGTTCTTTTTCTCTTTTTTGTTGTCTTGAAATTGTATGCTTTCTGTTATTAAATCTATAAGTAACTTGGGCCTGTTTATCTTTATTTTCAGGTTCACAAGCAGGGGATTGCTCTTGGTAGGTCTGTGGATCTTACTAAGTTCAACAACTACGATGAACTTATTGCAGAACTGGATCAATTATTTGAATTTAGTGGAGAGTTAATGGCCCCTAAAAGGAATTGGCTTGTTGTTTATACTGATGACGAGGGTGATATGATGCTTGTTGGAGATGATCCTTGGCAGTGAGTATTCTTGCATTCATTCTACAACACCATTTCACTTGTTTAATATGTTGGATGGCATTATTGAATTCTTTTTATTATTATATTTTTGAATCAGGGAATTTTGTGCCATGGTTCGCAAGATTGGTATCTACACTAGAGAGGAGGTACAGAAGATGAAGCCAGGATCAATGAGTTCAAAGGGTGAGGACAATTCAGTTTCTGCAGGAGGCCTAGATGGAATGGAAATGATATGTCGATCGACATCTAGTGCAGAGAATTGTTAGGCTTTTCTTAATGGTTCTTGGTAATGTTCTAGGTGTATATGCTCTCATTTTCGCATTCCTTTTCCTGTTTCAGCATAGTGGAAACTTATTACACAGCTAGAAGCATGTTCTGTTGTTTCAGCTTTTTGTTAAAGAGGAATTGGCAGTAAGTTGATCTTCTAAACCAGAATCAGATATAGATGGCTCAAGTAGTAGTATAGTCAAATTTTGGACATGCTGTGGAGGTAATATTTTAAAATGCCCTCTATATGCATAAATTATGTAAACCCAAATCGGTGTTTGTGAGTGCGGCTACACTCGCCGTTACTTTTGCAGCTCCCCTCCCCTCCCCCTTGTACAGATATCGTATTTCGACCTGTGAATGTAAGTTAATACATCATCTAATGTTCCAATTAAAGCATGTCATATTGTTGGCTTATGTTTTATATCATCTCCGTAAATAATTACTCCGAGTAGCATATGGTATAATGGCAACGTGGCAGATCTAACAAGTGATTGCCATTGAAGTGTTTTCCAGGAAATAAGGAGACTGCCAGGTCCATTGTTGTAAACGCCTGAATTGTAAGGCAATCGATCTTTTGACTATAAAATCGGCATTGAAAATCCGGTTCAATCCTCTTACAGCTAAGGATGGAACCCGACATGATTGAATATTTTAGAAATATGTAGTAGTTTTTAAAGTTAAATCTAAATATTAAAATATATTGAGACATAGTAGGGCTAGGAGAGGTTATCCATTTCGAAAAGCGGCATGCTACATGTTTTTGTTGTGTTACTCATTGAAGACCAAATGTAAAAAGTTTGAGAAAAAAGTAGCTGAGGTTCATGCAATGCAATGTTTAGAAAAGTTGCTTTCGTTGTGGAATTTCTTCGCTACACCAACCTACAAAAATGCATGATTTTAAGGTGTGTAAATATATGTTTTGATAATTAATTTTAGTATTTGTGTGTAGTAGGATATCTAATTATTATGTAGTTAGGTAACTAATTTTTCTATAATATAAGGCTTAAGTATAAAATAAGTGCCTAAACTATACCTATTTTCACGATAGGTGCTTACAATATTTTTTGACCTATCCAGGTGTCTAACGTTATAAACGTTACCTATTTAGGTGTCTGGGCCGTCAAGGATGTTAATCTCCCCGTTAAGTGACACGTGTCACAATCTGATAATTTTAAATTTTTTGTATAAAATTAAAAAAATAAAATTATATATTTTTTAAAAATAAAACGAAGAAATTTTGAAATAAACTCAAAACTTTGAAAATCTTTATTTCAACCCCTAAACCTACACCAACCACCACTCTTTCCCGTCGACGAAGCTCCACCCGACCTCACCTCCCCCGGTGATCAAAACCCCTGTGAAATCGTGGCCGATCGACGACGAATCGATGTTTTATAACCCTCGAACCCTAGGTTGAAAATCGCGATCTCACGCAATTCCTACGACCAATCGACAGCAAATACGACGACATATGACTATGAGGATGGTAGGGACTACGCCGGCGGCAGTGGTCGTGACCGGAAAGGGTGGCGTCCGGTGAATTAAGGGTCGGATTTGGAGATTTTTTAGGATTTGGGGCTATTTTATAATTTAAGAGAAATTAGGTTTTTTATAAATATAATAATATTTTTAATATTTTTTTTCAAAAAAAATAAATTTCAAAATCATCATATTGTGACACGTGTCACTTAACGGGAGAATTAACGTCCTTGATGGCCCAGACACCTAAATGGGTAACATTTGTAACGTTAGTTATCTGGATGGGCCGAAAAATATTGTAAACACCTATTCATGAAAATATGTATAATTTGGACACTTATTTTATACTTAAGCCATAATATAATTAATGTATAACTTTTATTTTTAGTATAATTAAATATCTAACACTTTTAAAATTATACGTGTTTATATTTAGAATTTTATTTTTTATTTTTAATATATATAACTTCTTTAAGTAAACGATATTAAAATTTAAAAATATATAATTAAAAATGTTAGATACCTGATTACATCAAAGAAAAAACTTAAATACCTGATTAAATATGCTTAAAAGAAACTAATTAAATTCATTAAAAAAATCAAATATCTAATTATAAAAATATATTAAATAGCACATTACACAGAAAATACTAAAATTAGACACGAGAAATTATATTTATCATTTTAGAAATGAAAAAAAAAGTGATACAGCAGTCATATTACAGCATACATCCTTAACCAACAAAGCCCACAACCCAACTTTCTTTAGAATGATTTTAAAAGTAGAATCTTTAACAGCAATATACATGTATTACCTGAACGATTCACTTGAGTTGTTACAAAATTACCCAGGGGTTCAAGAAAACCAATATTAACATTTTCTTACTCTTACGTGACTAGGTCCGAGTATATTCTATATTTTGGTATACTGCATATGCTTGTGCAGGGCATATACACAAGAAACAAGTGGGCCTCTAGCATATGTTAATCGTTTAAAGACTGGACATTTTCGTTTCTACTGCATACAGCCACTTCAAGTGCAGCATCTTAGCTTAGGTTCGGTCTATAGGGTATACCGTACCGAAAACAACCCTAGCAAATGTAAGTCGAATTTCCCTGAGACTTCCTGATGCTGCCTCGCTTTGCTACGAATCCCTTCTCGGCACTCATCGTCACTCACGAAGACCTTGCAAACTTCCGAATACAATGCCAAGGGTATAGACACCTGTACATGAATGGTTCGGGAAAAAGATCAGCTATGCCTTGTAGCGTAAAACAGAGAGGAAATGCGGATTATGACTGGCGGCACGACTGTTAGTTCCTAGATATATCGTTCACTTACCCCCAATCAACTATAGGTTCCACAGATCCAACAAAGTTGTTTAAAAATGGCTTTAAGTTGGTGAAGAGAGTGGAAAATAGATATTGCTTACTGCTACATCCAATGGGACAAAATAAGATGTTTGCTCGGGTTCAGTGTCGATACCATGTTAGTTTTATCATGGCGTGTTTTCGAAAAAAATTAATAGAAAGGGAACACGAAAGAAAGTGCTTACCAGATCTGAAAATGGGGCTGGAGGGAATGCTGACATTGCTTGAGACACATAATGCTCATCTGTCGTCTGGCACAAAATGCATTTAACGGATGCAGCAAGATCCATCACCTCATTTACTAATGCCCAATTCTCTAGATTCAGTGGTTCGGATAGTTCGTGAAAACTACTATCGAGCGGTTTCTTGATGTTCTTGGCGATATTTATAGCTTTGGATATATCTCCACCGTTGTGGACGGCCATGCTAAATGCAGCAACAACCAAAGGATCTCTAGGTTTGTCTGAAACTGCTTTATGGAATGCTAACGGTATGAGGATGTTTTAGAGATAAGTAGCTTCAATGAAGTACACCCGGAAAAAAAAAAGAGAACTTTGCACAATTTGTCTAATCAACGATCATTGTCGAGATTCCAGAATATCGACACTTCGTTATATTGATGGAAGGGATTTTAGGATTTTGTTGCCATTTAAATCTTACCATAAACAACTGTGCATGGTCTGTCCGGTGCCAGAAGTCTGTCCAATTTAGAAAATAATGACTGCAAACAGAACATCGAAAATTGATGGACTCCATACCACCACATTAATGCAAGTAATTTAGTAAACCCAAGTCAAAAAAGAATACATAACAAAAATTACCAAGAGCATATTAGATCTCTTATCACGTCTCCGGAAACTACTACAAACAAAATATGCTGCCTGTAAGATAAAGTTGCATCAACATTAGAATCAAATTGACTAGCATGTCAGGAATATCGATTTTCCGGTTCTGTACCGGAATAGGCATAAGTATCTCTAGAAGTCCAAATTTCCACAATAATCTCAAAGATGCTTCAGCAGAACCATATGCCATCATGTAGTTCATTTCCATCAGAAGCCTTGGCTAAACATTACCATTAGTGAATGAGATCAACCATCAACATTTTCACTTGAATTAAAAGCTGGGAAAACTTGGAAAGGAACTTTCTGTATACCTTATCCAGTCTTAATATCGAGGAAGAAGATTTTTGACAAAATGAGCTGTTTCCCTAGAAAAACTAAAGCCTAACATCCGAGCTGCAAAGAGTATGGAGCGAGGTGTGATTTTCTCAGTACCTAAAAATACTAGGTTGCTAAATCGTGCGTACGTCTAGGTAAAAACAACAGAAAATAGCAAGACAGATGCTATACTACAAGATGAAAAGCAATTGAGTTGAAACTCCATATCATAAACTTACCACAGTCGTCTTGAAAAGAAGTATTTGCAGGAATCACAGTTCATACCTAAATTATCAGAAGATAAAGGAGAATGTGCATTAATTCTGATTTCTAAAGCAACTAAAGGAACAAGCAACTATGTTTACTTGAACTCAGATGTGAGAATTGGATAAGGGTACGACCGTTCGAGCACAACATAAGTGTGTTCCTTCCTTTCTAAGTTTTTCCATCTATTTGGAGGGTCCTTTAAGGGTCATGTCCTCGTGCCCATGTCCTATGCATTGAACACATGTATTTTATGAAAAACAAAGAGTTGGAGCAACACGGAGTCAAGCATAATACATACTTTAGCCTTTTTAATATCTTCAATTTCTCCCATGTAGTCGTAAATTATCCTTGCATACAGATCAAACATTAACCTGTAAAAACAGAGAGGTGTCTTAGATGAATGATAAAAAGGCATGCTACTATGAACACTGGAAACTAAAGCCATAGGATGTAAATAAAATCGGAACAAGCTGCAGTACATAGATCATAAGTTCAAAATGTCATAAAATCAACCCTTTAATCGTAAATTCTCGTTGCAAACAATTTCTCCATCGAACAAAATCATTCTTGTCAAAGCCAGCAGGTCTTTTAATTTCATAGGTCATCCCCCTCCCATAATTCCGTGCAGACATGCTAAAACTTGAAACCTAAATTGTAAGGAGAACTCAAAACACAAATAAAGTTGAAATAGTTAAACTTGGTTAACAGCCACCATCAAGAGAAAATCAACAATCATAAAACTGAAAAGAAGAAACAATTTTGAATTGCACAAAAGTCAAAGTAAAAACAAAGAATGAACCTCCACCATTGTATCATCGATGTGCACATGGCATATTGGAAACCACCTTCCGACTA